ATGTCCTTCTCCCAGGCAGTGACATCCATTTCCCTGTAAACTATGATCTTCGGAACCTCTGACGTAACTTAGCAAGATAATTCAGAAACCCTTTCCTGGCTGCCTTAAAGACAACAGGAATTATTTTAGGACATATTAGAATTAAAATACCAGTGCAAGTTAAAGATCCTTTCATAAATACATATTTCACCTTACGTAAGCTTCCTTGTTAGGCCTGTTAATAAAGTTTCTGATGGGCTCAAGTATTTCCAATGTGAGGAAGACATCAAACCAGTGTATATATTTATTAATAACAGGAAGAATCAAAGAGGGTAAAAAGTAGCCTGCAGAAAAAACTATGATTAACATGCATGGCTTTGTGTGTGACCAGCTACTCAGGAGGCTGAGGCAGGAGAAATGCTTGAACCCAGGAGGCGGAGGTTGCAGTGAGCCGACATCGTGCCATTGCACTCCAGCCTGGGTAACAAGAGCAAAACTCCGTCTCAAAAAATAAATAAATAAATAAATAAATAAATAAATAAATAAATAAAGCACAGCCAGGCTGCCAGTCCAGCCGCTGCCTCAGGATGGCGCATCACAGCAGCTTTTCCGTGGCCAATTCGAGGGGCCACACCCACACCCTCGGGAATAGAGCATGGGCTGGGGAAACAGCTACCCTGGAGATGTATAACTGCATTAGCAAATTATAAAGTACACAGACATTTACAAATTAGCTGTTTTCCCCCCTTTAAAAAAAGAGTATCTCCATCTGTCTTCAAAGTTTTCCAATCATAGAAATAATTACAGAATCACTTCGGTAGCATTCGACTGACATTTACTCATATTTAAACTTAGTGTGATGTGTGAAAAGTCTGCTAACCCCCTAAGCAAGCGATGCTTGTTTACCTTTTTGAGGATGCTCTACTGTAAACATGGTAAAAGATGTTGGGAAGAAAGGCAATTGGGGGAGCACAGTTTCCAGTGGCTCACAGATCACCTGAAGCATTCGTATACCAAACACCTACAGTTCAGATCATCTCCTGCTTTTATTTGAGGGGAGGGTCTCTGCCTGGGTTTTTGCACTTACTCTGAGTTAATGAGTAAAGACTTCTGCATGTTAGGTGATCATGTGAGTGACAATTCCACAGCCTGGGCAGCTGAGGAAGAAGGAGATGGGAGTGTCCCGGGGGAGGGTGTGGCTTCTCTGACTCTGGAAGGGTTCTCCAGTCTCTGCAAGGTGGGGAACAGCTGGGAACTCTGCTCTGGGGCATGCTGGAGCTCTCGGGATTCCCACCAGTTAGAGACCCGGGCCTGTCGGATCTGCTATTCAAGATGTGGTACCAGCAGCTTCTCTGTGGGAAGTGGGTACAGGGCATGGGGAGAGAAAAGGGAAATTTCACTGCCGGAGGCTGTGTCTGTGTCTGAAGACACTGATGAAGAATCACAAGACTTAGAATAAATGCGTGAATCTGGAAGTTATACTTCCTTTAAAAATAGTATATGATCTTCATGTCAGTGATGAGTACATTAAAAATAATAACAGAGTAGCACTTCTAAATCTGAGTAAATACCATAAATGGTTAAGAAGGCAGAACTTCATGGACCAAGAGCCCTATCTTAGCAACCTTTACTGTTATTGCTTAAAAGAGAAGAGGCTTAGTATGTGTTTGCTCAATGAAACACAATTGAGAACTTGTTTGTTTCAATTCCATCAAATACAAGGTCTTCTCATGGGCAAATCCTGCTCCTGGATACCACCCATCCTAGAAACGGAATGGCAAGGCATAATTCCCACAGCGTGCAGATCCGACGGTTTTAGAAATACTAAGTCATTCGGTGGGAAGCAGTCAATGAGCAAAACCGCCACCAGCGACTGAGCTCTTCAAGGGGCTGTGTGGACTACGTAAGGGACGCTGGTCACATGAGCGAGGACATTTGTTTAGGGCCAACCTCTACACCTCTGTAGATCCTAGTTTTCTAATCTACAAAGTGAGGATTTTGGACTGTATTAGTTTTCTAAACTTTTTAAATAGTAAAATTTATCCACCATTCCCCCTAACCCCCAGAAAAAGAAACCTCAAGAGAAACTTACATATAAACTAGACCCTGCTGAAATGCTCCACGTGACACGCTGGCCCTACCAAGTCGCCTCCCCAGGCCAGGACCAGTCACCCGAGGCCCCTCCCAGGAGCCCTGGGGTTCTCAGAATCACAGTTTGAAAATGTGCTTGATTCGATTTTCATTCCGATTGCCTTCCTTTCCTTTTCTGTCACGGCAGAGGAAGAAATGCTCCCCCTCTCTGCAGACTCATCTCCCTGTGATTTCACTTCTTCTCACGCTTTGTGCCCTCCACCAGAAACCACCCCCACTCTATTCCTTCTGCATCAGCTCCTTCTCTATTTCTTTAAACCCAACATTCTGATGCTATTTCTTTTTTTTTTTTTTTGAGACGGAGTTTCGCTCTTGTTACCCAGGCTGGAGTGCAATGGCACGATCTCGGCTCACCGCAACCTCCGCCTCCTGGGCTCAGGCAATTCTCCTGCCTCAGGCCTCCTGAGTAGCTGGTATTACAGGCACGCGCCACCATGCCCAGCTAATTTTTTGTATTTTTAGTAGAGACAGGGTTTCACCATGTTGACCAGGATGGTCTCGATCTCTCGACCTCGTGATCCACCCGCCTCGGCCTCCCAAAGTGCTGGGATTACAGGCTTGAGCCACCGCGCCCAGGCCTCTGATGCTATTTCTTTATCAAAAGAGTAGCTTACGGCCTGGGTGTCCTCTTACCTATTCAGCCCCTCATCCCTTTATTGTGTACCCATTCTGTGCCCGACTGTGCTGGGTCCTCAGATGCACTGGTGAATGAGACAGACGCTTCCTGACTGTCACGGTGTTTATTACAGATTTTTAATTTTCTTAGGTTGGCTCTGTCTCTCCCCACAAGTTACAGCATTTGTTATTGACACTGATGACATGTCACCTCCCAGTTCAGGCATGTAATGAAGTCAGGATAAAATCCAAGTAACTAAGGGTGCTTTGCCAATGTTCGGTACTTTCTCGAAAACAGGCTTTTTGGGCAAGACTCCAAAAAAGGTTTTTTGGGAAAAAGATCAGGGATCAAAGGAAGTTAACAATCAAGACTGAGAAGAAGATATAAGAAAGTAATTTTTGAGTAAAATGGGGAGAATTCCATTTTTTTTTCCCTTTAAGCTCTCTTAGGAAGTAAGAGAGCTGCTGACAATAGAACACTAGAAAGTGGAAAGTCAAAGTGAAGTTTAAAATCAAAAGAGAGGGACTGAAAAATCCAGAAACCCAGGGCACGATGTCCCTGCACGACATCACAGTGGAGCATGGCCCCCACCTGTGCTTCCAAAAGGCCCTCACACATCTGCAATCTGGGTCATCGCGGCCGGGCGCCAGGCCCCAGGCAAGGGGTTCCAGGCGGCCTGGTTGGTGCAGCAGGTAGCCCCCAACCCATCCTGAACCCAGGAAAGCTTCTAAAGTGGCACAGAAGTCGCAAAACCACACATAATAAGGATGCATCTGAATTCAAGAGAACTAGTCAATTAAGAAAAAAGTGCTGTTACTTTGCTAAATGCTATTGTTAAAGAAGAAACCACTCCTCTCCTGTGGTTCTGGCTCAGGACTTCACAAACACCCATAATTCCTGGCAGAAGAGGGACAGGCTAGACCTCACTTTCAAATACCGAATTAGAGGCAGAGGTGAGGTAATAAAAAAGGAACTGGGATTGTCTTATCCTGAATTTCACTGTAAAGTCTTTGTGCAACTAAGTGATTTATATATCACTGTTTTAACACAAAGACAGTCATCTCTGAGCTGAGACTGAACCAGGTGCTCTCCAAAATAAACTTGAAAACATTTTCATTTTTTGTTTTAGTTCACAGGCTAATGAGGCTAACCCTCGCCTGTCATTTCAATGGGCTACAAAATTTAATCCTCAAGAAATTTCTAAACCTTTCAACTATTATATCTTTAGGAACTAAAATTTGCTTAAAATAGGTGAAATCTGAAGCCTGGTGCAGAAGAATCAGTAACGATTGAGAGAAACAAGATAGAGAACTATTGGAAAAATAAGTGAAGTAGGAAATTCCGTACTCTCTTTCGAAGGTTAGAAAGTGAATAAACGTCCTCCAGACTGTTCACCCAAACCAAGAGTGAGTCTAGACCACGTGCCGCTGGAACGGTCAGGGTGAGCGCTGCATCTCAATATGAGTTTCAGACAGCCGCTGGGACTTACTCCCAAAACGAAGGGCCTCACTTTCCAAACCTCTTCAAGAAAGCACGCCCACTGACAGCATGCGGCCTGGGAGCATGGCTTTGCTAAGTCCACTCTTGGCGGCCGTCTGGATGTGCTGGCGGGGCAATTCCACACCTCCTAACGGGAGGGGAGATTCGGTGAGATGGGGCTCTCGTTTCAGAGGATTTACCCAATGGCTACCTTAGGATTCCCGAAGGAAAAAGACCACAAACTTCCAGTATCTTCTCCTTAATCTAGAAAAGCTATCCAACATGATTATAGCTGCCTTTAAGATTAAAAATTCATTGGAAACAAATCAACCTGTACAGCAGTGGTGATCCAGTATTAATGAGTTTTAAAAACCTACTTACAGAATTCATGACAAAGCTTAAAAATGTTCAGAAATCCACCCATTCAATAATAAACTTTCTACAAAAAAATGCAGAAAATGCAATATATTTTACAAATGAACATAAATCATTTATCTCCATTATATCTGAAGAAGCACACTCCATCAAAGTGTATGCTGCTTTGAGTAATTCGATCATTTCCAATAATGTCTTTTTAACTGACCGGGCTTAAAAGTATCCATGTGTTAATATGATGCTTTCTGGTGCACGGGACTGGCATCTACTCCAACAGAGTTCTGCTTGGGTGCAAGAACTCTGAATAATATTCAAAATAATTAACTTCTAGAGAAAATATTATGAAGGCAGACAGGACTTAACAGAAAACAACACTGAAATCAAACACATTGTTACTCACGATTAGCTGTTTCAATCCAACAAAAGACGGTTCCACTGAGCTGGCATTCAGGACTTGTCTCTTTGCTGCAGCCTTTTCTCCCAGAAAGCGAAGCATCAAGTCTTTAACTGCATCTCCCTGGGAAGAATATAAGAAAAATATGTCAAGACAATAAAATGTCAATGAAACTCAGCTAACCAGAACCCATAACAAAACAAAATTTCTTTTTTCTCCACTGGCTTATGCAGGTAAAAGTCATGGTTACCGTAAAACTTCAATTAACCAGAAGCTAAATTACCACAATTGTCAATAAAATGTGTACTTTTAGAATTGCTCTTTATTCTTTTTATTTTTAAAATTATTTCTTTAACCACCGATCAGAAAGCATGCTCTTTATTTTGAAGAGGAAATGGTAACTCCCACACCTGTACCAGGCCTGCAGCGAGAAGCAAAGCCACGCCAGCAGAGGCCTGAGGGGAGGGGCCCGGGGAGCCCAGGAGTGTGAAGGTGGCACTGCTGACCAGGGGCTGCACCACGCAGTGGCCGGGCTTGTGCTGGTGCAGGCAGGCCTGAATTGTCTTCCCAAATCCCTTCAATGTCCCCATGCTTGCCTGGACCTCCAGGAAAGCCGTGAGGGCTAGGGCTAAAGAAGTGACCTCTCCAGCCGCCCTCTCTTCAGCGCTGAGGTCACCGGCCAAGCCAAAGGAGAACCAAGACCCCCTTTAGCAGCAGGTCCCTGACGGCCTCGCTGAGCCAGGCCCTGCTCCAGGAGCCAGTAGGCGCACTTCCTGCTGCAAGCCGGGGAAGAATCCAGTCACCTCTGCATGGGACCGTTTCTGTCCCCTGACCTGACTCCTCTGATACACTGATCTTTAGACGGCGCTGAAGAACATTGAAAGTGGAACCTGAAGCATGCTACTTACTTTAAAGGGAAGCCACAGAGGGCAAGGGGAGGCAGAAGAGGTCCTCTTGTGTGGCCTGGGGACAGCAGGGATGTGCCGAGGACCCGCACTGGGCCGGGAGCAATCTCGTAGCTCACAGGAAGCCAGGCTGCCAGTGGGAGGGTGAGCTGGCCTTCATGAGCCTCAGAGGTCGGCACAGCTCGGGGACCCCAGGGAAGGGCTGGAAGTTACCAAGGCTGTCGTATGGGGACAAACTCCTCATCCCAACAGCGAGGAGAAAACCGTCCTGGTCCGCGGGCCTCAGTGCAGTTTTGGTGTCTGCGTCGCAGGCCGAGGGAGAGCCCAGGGTAAGTAAAGGCAAGTGCTCTCCACGGGCGGCAGGAGAGGCCTCCACACAGAGCTGGGACCAGGACACAGCCCTGCACTCTCCCTCTCCCTTCTAGGGGTGCTGCTGACTGAGGAAAGGCACCTGGGGGGGCAGCAGTGCTGAGGTCTGGGGGTGCTGCTGACTGAGGAAGGGCACCTGGAGGGGGGCAGCAGTGCTGAGGTTCCTGAAATGCCTGATGTGGGGACAGCAGCGGGGATAGAGCAGCCCAGGGGGAAAGGGCAGCTGCGCTGAGGTCCCTGAAATGCCTAGAGACAGTGAGCCGCCCGGAGCTGGCGGGACCTTCCCTGACATGTGCTCTGGGCATCACCTGACATGTGACCTGTCAGCAGCTGCTGCCAGGGACACTGCACAAAGGCCCTGCAGTGTCTCCGGTGAGCAGAAGAAAGACTTGAACTAGGACAACCCCAAGATGCGGGCAGGGGGAGGGGGGCAGTAAAGCCAAGATCTCTCCATCTCAGCACAAAGCTGCCTCCCGCACAAAGGCGACCCCCGGGAGCACACAGTGACAGCATGCAGAGAAGCCTGCAGCCCCCGCCTGGACTTCACCACCAGCTCAGCGCTCTTCCTATTGTTCTCCCACCCTTTTTCTGGGGGGAAGAAAAAGCAGAGAAATAGTTTTTCCTAAGAAGCAAGGTTATTTCAATCTTTTGCTATCTTTTAAAATGGTGACACTTAAAAGAAGAACAATATCTAGACCATGAGAGCAAGAGCCACAGAAAAGCTGCTGACGTTGCTTCTCCTGCTCTGCTGCGTGCTTTCTACCGGGAGAGATCAACAGCCTGTGGCGGGAGGGACTGGGTGGCTCCGGGTCACAGGTCTGTCTCTCCCCTGGGTGCTAAGCCTGGTGCTTGCAGAGGCGGACATCACATTTTCTTACATTGAGGCAAAGACCTAGGGGCAGCAGTTTATAATTTCTGCTTTCAGAGTGTAAGGTGAAGTACTTCAAATATCAGATCCACAAAATCAGCTAACTGATCTAGCAGCAATAATTAAAGGGCAAAATGAAAGAGTGCAGACAAAGGGCTCTATAGAGCTCTGCAAAAATGCAACTCATCTCAGACAAAGGGCATTATCTCAGCCAGAGGGGCAGCGAGCTGGGTAAAGAGCAAAATCAAATCGCAGGAGGGGCAGGTCAATTCAACCCCTCCATCCCGCCACAGGCTGAACTAATGAGACCACGCCGCAAAAATCTCTCCTCCTGAAAATTCTGTTAGTTAACATTTCAGTTACGGCAGGAAGTTCCTGAGACACTAGCACACGCATGACTATCAACCATCCCACCGAGACAGGGCCAAGGCTGTGACAAGCGTCTTACCACAAACCTCGCCCTTGCTGTGTGGCTAGTGGAAGGCGGCGAGGGCTAGGGAGATGGAGGCTCCAGCTGTCACTGGGGGAGGTGAGGGGCTTCCTTGGGGTTTCCAGAGCTGTGCTACTGCCCTGGGGATGGAACTTAGCTAGAACCAACGATTCCTTCACACAGCGAGCTGTTCAGTGAGGGTTGACTTTATCCAGGGCAAGGTTCAGGGAATGCGAAGGAGATACGTGAACACATCACAATCTGGGACTCTTCGTGATCTGGCGATGAAGATCGCCACCCCATTCTCTGGGTCAGGTATGTTTATGGAGGAGCAAGTGGCTGGTTCTCACAGCTGGCAGGCGGACGGGGGCCTGGCTGCCCTTCCTGCCATGAGTAGTCTCAGTAGTCCCTTCTTGATTTTGATGGTGAAAGACAAGACAGAAACCAGAGCAGCGACTCAGAGTGTCTGGGCCTTACCGTCTGGGAAACCTAAAGACACAAATGCTCATGGAATAGCGTTCTGCAAGGCAGCGGCCCCTGCACCCGGCACAGAATTTCCTACCACATCGCCAATGCAGAAATGCGGCTGTCCATTCTTGGAGGCCCTACCCTCTGCTCCAGGGAAACACGAAACCACCTGGACAAAAAGCTACGACAAGTAACCGAAACACAAACCTGAACTCAAAGAAGTGGAGAAACTGGCACCCTCACGCATCGCATCATTGGTGGGAATTTGAAATGGAATAGCCATTTTAGAAAACAGTCTGGTGGTTCCCCAGCATGTTAAACGGAGTTGCCATGGAACCCAGCAGTTCCACACCCAGCTACACATCCCAGGTAACTGAGGACACGCAGACACCGACACCTGTGTGTGAGTGTTCACAGCAGCACTCCTCACATTAGCCAAAAGGTAGAAACAGCCCCAATATCTGCAACCGACGGACGAATGAGAAGCAGCAGGAAGGTCTGCTCTGTCCATTTCGGGCTAAGCGGGACTAGACTCAACATCTTGATGTTAACACCTGTAGCACTGCTCAGAATAAATCTAACAACCATCTTCAGACACAGGACAGGACTGTGACTGACAAAAGGAAAACATGAGTTGAGCCCTTGAACCCAATGGCACTGTTTGGACCACTGTGCAGGAGGAGACTCCCAAGCAGGGTTTGGGAAGTCAAGGAGGTTTAGACTGTACTCACATACGCTTTCCCTAACATCCTTATTTTACTAAATTACTAATGACGACAGGTGAGAAAGTGCAAGAGTGTATGTGTGAGAAAGAATATACGCTTTCTGTATATAATAAATTCCGTCTACTGTAGTCCTTTGTGGTTTATTATAAAAACCCTGCTACAATTTATAACATAATTTACTAGAAAATGGCTTTGGAACCTGCTTACAAACTGGATAATTCTCATATCCAGAGACCTGGAAAGGAGCGAGCTAAGCAGAGAAAGGGTTTGTGTGAGCCCCTGGGTTCCCTGCCGATCACTAAGCAGCTGTATGCGCACAGGGTGCAGCTCTGACGGACTGGGAAGGCAGGGCGCTGGGAGCTGGCCAGCCAGAGCTCACGCAGGGCTGAGGGTGCTGAGTGTAGGTCTGCCCTGGCAGAATGCTCTCACTGAACAGAGAGGCATTCAGTAGAGACTTCAGAAAGGCCACTCAAGAGTAGATGCTACTACTCTAAAGGCACTCTAAAAAGTAAAAACAAACATGAAACTAAATCTGTAAATAAATCACTTGCTATCAGAATAAAGGGCAAGTCTTTTCGAAGGAAGATAAAAAAGCTAGACACACAGCAACATGACATCCACAATGTCCACCCTTTAATAAAAGGTGTCCACCCTTTAATAAATGTCCACCCTTTAATAAAAAGACATACAAAACATGTGTCCCATGAGTAAGAGAAAAATTACATAAACACAGGTCCACATATTACATAGATAATGAAACTTTCAGATAAGAACTTCTTGTTTTCTTTCTCTCTCTCTTTTTAAGAGACCTACGTTGCCCAGGCTAGCCTCCAACTCCTGGGATGCAGGGATTCCTGCCCCGGCCTCCTGAGTAGCTGGACTGCGGGCATATGCCACTACACCTGGCTCAGAAAAGAACTTTAAGGTGTCGATTATAAATGTTCTCGAGAGTTTAAAGTAGAGCTTGAAAATGATAAGAAAAGAAAAATGATACAAAAAAGAACCAAGTAAAAATTCCAGTGATAAAAAACATGAAAAAGTCACTGAAAAGGATTAGCTGCAAACTAAAAAGTCAGAAGAAAAGATAAGTGAACTTAAGGACAGCAACAGAAATTCTAAACTTAACCACAAACAGGAAAAGACTGAAAAGTAAAGACAATAACACAACAGACACTCAGTCACTTCTTTGGCAATATCAAGCAGTATGTACCTGGGGTTTCCAGAAGGAGGAGAGAGAGAAAAACAACAAAAAAAACCTGAGGAAATAATGACCCAAAATTTCCCCAAATTGACAAAAATGATAAACTCACAGATCCAAGAAGGCCAATGAATCCCAAGCGAGATAAACATAAATCCCATGTGAAGGTACACGGGAACCAAGCTACTGAAAAGCCAGGGATAAACCTTAAAACCACCCAGAGAACAAATGTACCCATTAGGTACAGAAGAGCAAGGATAAGAATTACTACAGACTTCCTGTCAGAAACTATGCAAGTCAAAATTGACAGTGGGATGGCATCTTACAAGGTCTAAAAAGAAATAAAAAAGCCTATCAACCTAGAATTCTAGATACTATAAACATGTTGTGTATTTGGCAAAAATAAACTTTAAAAATGAAGACAAGGCGAGGAATGATGGCTCATGCCTGTAATCCCAGCACTTTGGAAGGTCAAGGTGGGCAGATCACTTGAGGCCATGAGTTCAAGACCATCTTGGCCAACATGGTGAATCCCCGTCTCTACCAAAAATACAAAAACTGGCCAGGCACGGTGGCTTACTCCTGTAATTACAGCACTGTGGGAATTAGAGGCGAGCGGCTCACTAGAGGTAAGGAGTTCAAGACCAGCATGACCAACATGGCAAAACCTTGTGTCTACTGTTAATATAAAAATTAGCCGGGTGTGGTAGTGCACACCTATAATCCCAGCTACTTAGGAGGCTGAGGCAGGGGAATTGCTTGAGCTTGGGAGGCAGAGGTTGCAGTGAGCTGAGATTGTGTCACTGTACTCCAGCCTGAGTAACAGAGCAAGACTCCATGTCAAAAAAAAAAAAAAGCGGGGGGGGCCAAGCTCAGTGGTTCATACCTGTAATCCCAGCACTTTGGAAGGCTGAGGCGGTCAGATTACGAGGTCAGAAGATTAAGACCATCCTGGCTAACACAGTGAAACCCCGCCTCTACTAAAAATACAAAAAATTAGCCAGGCGTGGTGGCACGATGTCTGTAGTCCCAGCTACTCAGGAGGCTGATGCAGGAGAATTGCTTGAACCCAGGAGGTGGAGGTTTCAGTGAACCGAGATCGCGCCACTGCACTCCAGCCTGGGTGACAAAATGAGACTCTGTCTCAATAAATAAATAAATAAATAAATAAGCTGGGTGTGGTGGTGCATGCCTGTAGTCCCAGCTACTTTGGAGGCTGAGGCATGAGAATTGCTTAAACCTGGGAGGCGGAGGTTGCAGTGAGCTGAGATTCCAGAAGTAGGAGTGCCACTGGCACTCCAGCCTAGGTAACAGAGCAATACTCTGTCTTCAAAAAAAGAGAAAAAAAGATGTAATAATTTGTAATAATTTTGAAACTAATAAACGATGTGAGAATCTGTAGCTAGCACACCTGCACCCCAAAATGAAAATTTCTGCCCTTCAAAAGACACCTACAAAATGCAAAAACAAGGCACTGGAATAGTAAAAAATATTTGCAACACATCTGTTGTGTAATATAGCTCACTTCCAACCAGAATACTTACAGAACTCTTAAAATACAGTAACAATAAGACAAATATCCAAAGTTTGAAAGATGGAGAAAACATTTGAAGAGATACTTAATAAACATATACAAGTAGCCTATATATTAAAGGATTAATACATCAGATCCTATATATCAAGTAGGTTGTATAACTCAGTCATCAGGGAAATGCAAAAATCGAAAAAGTTGACTATGCTGCAGATATAAAATAACTGGAATGCTCTCTCATACGCTGCTGATGGAAATGTGAAATAATGTACCCACTTTTGGAAATTGTTGTATTTCTTAATAGAGCTAAATGCACATTTATCAAAAAACCCAGAAAGTATTTTTAAGCAAGAGAAACAAAAATATGTTCACACAAAAGACTGTACTTGAATATGCTTTCCTAACATTCTTATTTTGCTAAATTACTAATAATAGGAGAGAGAAGAAGTGTGTGTATGTGTGAGACAGAATATACAACATTATCTCTATATAACAAGTTCCACCTAGATAGTCCTTTGTGGTTTATTCTAAAAACTCACCTATGATTTATAACATAATTTACTAGAAAATGGATTTTGAGGGCTGGGCACAGTGGTTCACAGCCTGTAATCCCTGCATTTTGGGAGGCTGAGGTGGGCAGATCACGAGATCAGGAGTTTGAGACCAGCCTGACCAAAATAGTGAGACCCTGTCTCTACTAAAAATACAAAATATTAGCCGGGTGTGGTGGTGGGCGCCTGTAATCCCAGCTGCTTGGGAGGCCGAGGCAGAAGAACTGCTTGACCCTGGGAGGCGGAGGTTGCAGTGAGGCAGAATCGCACCATTGCACTCCAGCCCAGCAACAGGGTAGACTCTTGGTGTGGTGCATTCCATGGGTATGGTAAAATAAATAAGGACACGTACCCAGCATTAAAGTTTCACATAGAATAGTTTCATTGCCTTAAACTCCTCTATGTTCCACCTGATCATGCCTTCCTCCCCAAAACTCTGGCATCATTTTAAAAAAGTACATAAATATTCCTTTGGAAGATGAGATGAGTCAAATGTATTCAAGCCTCCTAAGAACAGGCTTTTGGATTACTTCAGGTGCTTTGCAGTGATGAACCACTCTGAGAGACATCTCAACAGCTGGTATATGTATACCAGTGTGATTATTTCCTCGCAATACATTCCTAAGAGTGGAATTTCTGGGTCAAAGGATATGCACATTTTGACGTGCATTTTAAAATTTACTTAAATGTATTTGCACCGATTTTCGGTCCCATGGGGGATGCCTTAGCGAGGCTATTTTCCCACACTTCCACAAACAGTAAATCGCTGTTGATAGATGGAAATGGAAATTACTTGACTGTGATTGCTACAGGAGGCGACAAATCCTAGGCAGACGGGGGAGATCCCGGTGAAACCCATCAGGCTGAGGACAGTTTAAAGCATAGCTACAAGTCCTCGATAAATCCACGGAAGGGCCTGGGAGCCTCCCGTCCCATTTGGCGCACTTTCCTCTGATCGATTAGCCCCTCTTCACCTATGTCACACGCACCTACCCTTCCCCAATTGGTTTTTTACACTGTTGTGTCCACCTTTGAGGGGTGACTTTGTTTAGCCTTTTTTTTTTTTTTTCCAAACTCACAATCAGCATGCACGCCTCCATTCTGAGTTCACATAAGCCCCTGCCCCAGCCACACTGGGGGAAAGACCACCTGACTTCTGGTGGGGAACCACCCTCACCCCGCCTCTCCGCTGAGAGCCGTTTTGTGCTTAATGAAATTCTTGCCCGCCCTCCTCACACTCTGGTTATCAACATAATCTCATTCTTCTTGGAGACAGGACAAGAACCCAGGTCACTGCAGAATGCAGGTACGAGGACTGCAGTAATACTGTAACCTCCACCCCCACCCGCTTTGCCTGCCCCACTCAGCGGAAGCAGTGGTGGCCGAAAGGGGCAACGGGGCTGAGAGGGCTGTTAACGCGCCCGCTGAGAGCTGTTAATACGCCGTCAGTCCTGGAAAAACCCCCATGGGGCTTCGGGGTCGCGGGCATCTGTTTGGGAGTCATGGTGTTCCCCTCGCCTGGACGCAGGAGTCCACCGAGGGAGTCACTTGCCACATGTCTGGTCCGGCTGCAAGCCCGGTGTGGAGCCCACTCCTGTGCTGGCCATTGGAGCCCCGGACCCCCAGCTGGTTTGCTCGCACAACCCTCCCACCTGGAGTTGAGAGCACAGTCACGTGGCCACCGGATAGGCCAAAGCTGAGCCAGGTGCGGCTCCTGGGCTGAGAGGTATCACCAGTTGCGGACGTCTCTCCGGCTGGCAAAGCAGCACTGAAAAAATCCTGCGTCAACTGTCTTTCATTAGTGGTGAGAATGGAAATGTTATGCTAATTATCATTTAGCATATCATTTACATATTTCTGTGATTTGTTACTTTTTGGGTCACGCATATTCTTCTTATTTAAGTTATACAAATTCTACATCAAGCACGTTCTATGTAACAGGAGTAATGTTTTTCTGTATTTTTTAAAAAAGAAATGGATTTATCACTTACGGGAGTTCAAATGTCACAAATGAATTACAGGGCATAGAGAACTAACAAAGAGAGTTATGGTGGAAAGTCGCTTTGCTGGTGTTTATTTCTACATCTCTGAAAGTAGCTCATTAAATAGATTCTGTTGAGGAAACCAACAGATCCTAATTACCCCAGGGCTGAGTAACACAGCTTGCCTTTAGGAACTACTGAAAACAAGGGCGTCTCTCCTGTGAAGGGCACCGCGAGCATCTCACAGACCGGGCAGAGGGGAGGCCGCGCTGCGAAGGCAGCAGACCCAGGCTCACCTGGATGTTGTCGAACCTGAGCCCCGGCATGGTGAGCTTCTCCTTGTCCACGAACACGGCGCCGCGCTGCTGGGCGGCCACAGCCCGCAGGACTCCGCGCGTGGCCTCGCTGGGGAGCCAGGCGTCGTTCCTCCGGTCCATCTCGCTCATGCTCAGGGCGGTGGCGAAGGGGTCGTCACTCCCCGCAAACACGGCCTGGATGTGCGCGAACGGCTCCGGCGATGCCTGGGGCGCAGCGGCCTGGGGCCCTGGCGTGGCCACGGGTTCCGGACGCCCCTCTGTCCCGGGCACAGCGAGGGGAGGCGGGCTGGCAGGGGCCGGGGAGCCCGCGCGGGGGTTGCTAACGGAGACGAAGGCGGAGGTGGTGAAGGAATCGAAGAAGTCTGAGGCCAAGGAGTGGCTGGCAGCCGCGTCTCCGAAGAACGTGCTGAGGCTGGGGCTGGGCTGCACGGCCTGGGGGGGCGTCCGGGCGGGGGCCTCGCTGGCGCCGCCGAAGCTGGGCGACTTCACCATCTGCGGCTCGAAGCCGTCCCCGGGGCCGGGGGGAGCGCGCTGGCTGAAGATGGTGCACACCGGGACCGGGTCCGCGGCGGGCAGCGTCTCCTCGGGGCGCGCGGCTTCGGCTTCGCTGCTCGGGGTCTCGCGGGCCGTGTCCTGCCTCGGGGCCCCACCACTGCCGGGGGTCGCGGCCTCGTCCTCCGGGGCGTCCCCGGGCGCACAGCCGCCATCGGCCTCGCCGGTGGGACTTGGGGTGCCCGCGGGCTCCGGGCCTGGGTCGCCTTCCCCTGGGGGCTCGGCTTCCTCACGCACCCGGCCCAGGTCACCCGCGTCGCCCTCGCTGTTGTTGGGGGAGTCGGAGATGAGGACGCTCTCCATCATGTGTTCGTTCAGCTTGTCCGCGAGGGGACTCGAGTCTTCCGACGCGCTCTCGTTCTCTTCGGATGCAAACTCATCTCCGCCGAGATCGATGGTCTCCTCCTGGAAGAGCAACCCCTGCTCCTCCGCAGGCGCGAGCGGAGGGAGGTGCGCGGCCTCCGGGGCCGGGGTCTCTTGGCCGCCGCCAGCGTCCTCCATGCCCCTGAAAGCAAAGACACAGAAGGCCCCTGAGCGTGATCGTGTCCTCAACCGAACATGCCTCTTGCTTACGGCCTGCAATGGCTCAGACTCCATTTCTCCAGCTTCTTAATCCATGTGCTTTTGATTACGGTGAAACACCCATACAACGTACCACCTTAAGTTCAGTAGTGTCAAGTACATCTACATGTACTTGCAACTACTACGTGCAACTTATCTCCAGAACTCTTTTCAACTTGCAAAACTAAAATGCCATCCCCATTAAACACCCCCTCCCCCCCGCCACTACAAAATAAGTGGAATCACCGATATTGCCTTCTTGTGACTGGCTGATTTTACTCAGCATGAAATCCTCAAGGGCTACTTAGGCTGCAGCTTGGGCAGACTTTCCTTCCCTTTTACGGCTGAATCACACGCCACGCTAGGCACACTACATTTTGCTGACCCAGCCATCTGCTGATGAACACGTGGGCTGCTCCCACCTTTAAGCCACTGTGAATGCTGCTGCAATGAACATGGGTGTGCAAACATCCCTTTGAGAGCTTGCTTTCAATCATTTTGGGAATATACCTAGAAGGGACTGCTGGATAATATGGTAATTCTATTTTTAATTCTTTTTTAGGGACCAAAAAGCTTTTTCATAGTGGCTGTACTAGTCATTCCTAACAATGCACAAGTGTTCCAATTACTGTCCTTGCCAAACCTCCTTAGCCATTCCAGAGGTGTGAGGTTCCAGCCATATAAACGCTGCTTTAAGACTCAGCTGAAGTCCCTCCTCTTTTATTTTTTATTTTTATTTTTTTAAACATATATATACATATATATATTTCTTTAATAAAGATGGGGTTTCTCTATGTTGGTCAGGCTGGTCTTGAACTCCTGACCTCAGGTGATCCACCTGCCTTGGCCTCCAAAGTGCTTGGATTACAGGCGTGAGCCACCATGCCCGGCCGTCCCTCCTCTTTCATGAAGCCCTCCTAAGACTCTATAATAGTCTGTATAGTCCTCCTATAAGTCTCTTCACTCGTCCCCATGCCATTCCCCCACCTCATATTATCTGCTTAACTCTGGACTCTGAGACAGTGAGAATGACACGAAAAACTTAAACACTAAGAAAACAAAAGCATGCTCACTGAGCAATGATGGCTGAAGCCGACAACACAACCAGCTAACATTTATCGGCACATACTACGCCCCTGGCTGTGTATACACAGGAGATTCTCAGAACACTCCTCTGAGATAGCTGCTATCACTGTCTTTGCTTTGCCGATCAGACCTCGGGAGGCTGCGTTAGCAGAAATCACACAGCTAGGGAGTGGGCAACCAGAACCGCGGAGGCTGGCATGCTGAGGGGCCACTGGCTGCGGGAGGTCACAGAATGAGACAAAGAGCTAGAACTGTAAAAAAAGTATTTGTTCCTTTCCTTGAAAAACTTTTCCTTTATGTAGTTTTACTCTCATAATGAACAAATTCAAGTTAAGGAATTAACAAATTCAAGCTAAGAGACAATGATAAAAGATAAGGGATATTTTTCAGAATAAAACAACATGTACCTTTTTTACTTAAAAAAATGCTACTTGTCTGATCTCTAGATTTTTCTGACTGTCAACACTTCCATCACAATATTCCACATCAGTTAGCCTTCCCAAAACGTTAAAGTAGATAATCCAAGCTATACATTTTTAAGTTTCTGGTTCGGCCCGGTCAGTTATTAACTCCCTTACTTACACATTCATCCAATAGTTATTAGTTATAGATGAATCAAAAACACAATGAAAAGGAGTAAAAGCCTTTTTTTCATGCAATGTTTCACCGGAAGCCCAAAGAAGAAACTGCCCTAGAGTCTTCCTCCACGGCTGTCTCAGGATAGGCCGCCATCATGAACCACACAGTAGCTGTCCGCACTAGAAAGTTCATGACCAACCGACTACTTCAGAGGAAACAAATGGCCATTGACGTCCTTGACCCCGGGAAGGCAACAGTGCCTAAGACAGAAATTCGGGAAAAACTAGCCAAAATGTACAAGACCACACCGATGTCATCTTTGTATCTGGATTCAGAACTCATTTTGGTGGTAGCAAGACAACTGGCTTTGGCATGATTTATGATTCCCTGTATTATGCAAAGAAAAATGAACCCAAACATAGACTTGCAAGACATGGCCTGTATGAGAAGAAAAAGACCTCAAGAAAGCAACGAAAGGAACGCAAGAACAGAACGAAGAAAGTCAGGTGGACTGCGAAGGCCAGCGTGGGTGCTGGCAAACAGACAAAGGAGTAAAGGTGCTGCCATGATGTGATCTATGGCCATTGTGGGTTTTTCACGAGAAGCTTAATAAACTAAAAACTTTCGCGTGTCTGGTTGTTTGGGAAAAAAAAAAAAAAAAAAGAAGAAGAAACTGCCCTAGAACGCCAAAGGGGGAAGCCTCTTTGCATGGAAGGGCTGCTCCTTAGGGTCCTATCCGGGCAAGGATGGAGGCTGGGCACAGGGGCAAACAGCAGCATGAGGCAGTGCCCTCTGCATCTCCCAGCAGAACTTGAAGGCACTACTGTGGTCTTCATATTTTATTTTAGAAAAAAGAGTTTATTTCCAGATAAGCTAATGATGAGAGAAAGGGGCTTTTCCCTCCCTCTAATCTTCCCTCAGACCTAATAAGATTCTAGGTTCTAAAGCTAACTCTGATTCAATCTCGTAGATCTTAAAAATTTTATTTCCGGCCGGGCGCGGTGGCTCAAGCCTGTAATCCCAGCACTTTGGGAGGCCGAGGCGGGTGGATCACAAGGTCAAGAGATCGAGACCATCTTGGTCAACATGGCGAAACCCCGTCTCTACTAAAAATACAAAAAAAATAGCTGGGCATGGTGGTGCGTGCCTGTAATCCCAGCTACTTAGGAGGCTGAGGCAGGAAAATTGCCTGAACCCAGGAGGCGGAGGTTGTGGTGAGCCGAGATCGCGCCATTGCACTCCAGCCTGGGTAACAAGAGCGAAACTCTGTCTCAAAAAAAAAAAAAAAAAAAAAAAAAAAAAAAAAAAAAAAATTTATTTCCTTCGGGAAGAAACATTTTTAAGAAAAAAATCTTACTATTGTGAAGATGCTGCTGCTTTAAACCTCTAAGATTTAGGGAAATCTGTTTTACAGATAGGATAACAAAGAACATCGCCTAGAATAACATCATCAAAATAATAAAAAGGTAAAACACTTCTAAATCATAAAGCTTAAAAATTTTATAAATTGTAAATTAAAAAGGAATCTCCAAAATTTCCATTAGTACCTGCGAACCACTTTTGAGAAGAGAAGAAAATGAAAAACTAAATTTTATTCTTAAGTAAATACCAAAGTAATAAAAAGCCCTAATAATCTAGGGCAGGGATGATCGCTTTTGCTTTCACACAAATAAAATCTAGATACAAGAAAGTGCTTGTAAGTGGGGATCTGAGAGTTTACTTCTCTAGAAAATCAAGAGAAATGCTCACATAAAAATGATGTAAAACATGATTTAGATGATGCTTTTATGAATGGAAAGACATACATATTATAAAGCTACATCTATATGAATTATATACATAAGATTTCCTGAGAAGGAACATATAATTTGTAGCAAAATCGCTTCTTCACTTAACTGTTTCCTGACTCTAGTCTTATTCCAACGTAAGGTTCAAATGCAAAGCAGACATTAGTAATAACCATGTATCTATGACCAGATAGTTCTATAACCATAAAAAAGTACAACTAGTAATTAAGTCTTCCCACAAAGAAAATAAGAGGGCCCAGATGGATTACCAGTGAATTCTACCAAAGATTCCCTACAGATAATTCCTACTGTACAAAAATCCTTGCAGAGAAGAAAAAAGACACATGACCCAATTCACTTTATAAAGCTAATATAACCGTGAGACCAAAATCTGACAAGGCCATACTAAAAGGGAAACTATCATCCCACTCATGAACACACATGCAAAAATCTTGAAATAGTAGCTAACTGGGCCGAGCGTGGTGGCTCAAGCCTGTAATCCCAGCACTTTGGGAGGCTGAGGTGGGTGGATCACAAGGTCAAGAGATCGAGACCATCCTGGTCAACGTGGTGAAACCCCGTCTCTACTAAAAACACAAAACATTAACTGGGCATGGTGGCACGTGCCTGTAATCCCAGCTACTCAGGAGGTTGAGGCAGAAGAATTGCCTGAACCCAGGAGGCGGAGGTTGCGGTGAGCTGAGATCTCGCCATTGCACTCCAGCCTGGGTAAGAAGAGCGAAACTCCGTCTCAAAAACAAAAACAAAACAAAACAAAAAAATAGTAGCTAACTGAATCGGCAATGTATTTATTTTCACACCATACTCAGGTTATCCCAGAGATGTGCTACTGGTTTAATGTTAGGAAATCTATTTACATAATTCAACACACTGACAGATTAATAAAAAGTACATGACTATCTCAACAGAGGCACAAGAAAGTATAGGGTAAAATTCAGCATCTGCTCCAGGTAAAACCTGCCAGCAAACTAGCAACAGAAAGCAACCCCCTTAATTCAATCAAGGGTATCTACTAAACCTAGAGGAAACCTCAAATTAACGGTGACACATTTAAAGCATTCTCTTTAAAAGTAGAAAAAAGATAAAGTGGGCCGGGCTCGGTGGCTCAAGCCTGGAATCCCAGCACTTTGGGAGGCCGAGGCGGGTGGATCACGAGGTCAAGAGATCGAGACCATCCTGGTCTACATGGTGAAACCCCGTCTCTACCAAAAATACAAAAAATTAGCTGGGCATGGTGGCACGTGCCTGTAATCCCAGCTACTCAGGAGGCTGAGGCAGGAGAATTGCCTGAACCCAGGAGGCGGAGGTTGCGGTGAGCCGAGATTGCGCCATTGCACTCCAGCCTGGGTAACAAGAGCGAAACTCCTGTCTCAAAAAAAAAAAAAAGAAAAAAGAAAAAAGTTAAAGCTGCCTCTTCAGTATTTGTACGCTGCCGAACACTGGAGGCCTCAGGCAGGATTAAGACAAGAAAAATAACTAAAAGCTACAATAAAAACTGAAAAGAAAAAAATTCTTGTGTGTGATTATTTATTTAAAATACATAAAAAATTTATGGCTTAAAGACCAAAATATCACAAGGGAATATGTAGCACACATCAAGGGAAGCGGTGGATTTTCCTTGAGTGATGTGTAAACAAATCATTCATCTGGGAAAAAATAAACTGGAACCTTGCCTCACCTCAGATACAGTATCAATCTCAGGCACAGTAAAAACTTAACTGTGGGCTGGGCATGGTGGCTCATGCCTGCAATCCTAGCATGTTGGGTGGATCACAAGGTCAGGAGTTTGAGACCAGCCTGGCCATCATTGTGAAACCCTGTCTCTACTAAAGATACAAAAAAATTAGTCCATTGTGGTGGTGAGCCCCTGTAATCCCAGCTACTCGGAAGGCCAAGGCAAGAGAATTGCTTGACCCAGGAGATGGAGGTTGCCGTGAGCCGAGATCCTGCCATGACAGTCCAGTCTGGGTGACAGAGCAAGCCTCCATCTCAGTGGGGAAAAAAAAAAAACCAAAAACCAAAAACCAAAAACAAAACAAAACAAAAAAAACACAAAACTTATCTGTGAAAGGCAAAATGTCAAAACTTTCAAAAGAAAATATAAGAGAATATATTTTCAAGGTAAAGAAGCCTCTTAAACTAGGCATAATAAATAAGTACAAACCATAAAGGGAAAATGGACATATTTGCTATATTAAAATTGAAAGTTCTATCATTAAACACCTCCAAAAATGAAACAATGTAACCAAGAATTAACACCAAGAATATATAACGAATTCCTGCAAATTAACAGGACACTAAATAATCCATTAGAAAAATGAAAAACAGAGCTGAAGTGGGTATACATCTAAACATACATGTTGACAAACAACTGGGTATTATCTAGTAAAGTTTAAAAAGCACAGATCTTATCACTTAGATAACTACGCATCTTGATTTTTCCCAGAACAATTCAATTTTTCACCCATGGTCTAAGTTATTACTATTATTTTATCAGTATTATTATTTTCTGAGACATAGTCTTGCTCTGTCACCCTAGCTGGAGTGCAATGGCATGATGGTGGCTTACTGCAGCCTCAACTTTCGGGGATCAATCCATCCTCCTGCCTCAGCCTCCCAAGCAGCTGGGACTACAGATGTGTTTCCCCACACTCAGCTGTTTTTGTATTTTTTATAGAGATGGGGCCTCAATACGTTGGTCAGGCTGGTCTTGAACTTCTGGACTCAAGTGATTCTCCTGCCTTGGCTTCACAAAGTGCTGAGATTACAGGTGTGAGCCACTGTGCCTGGCCTCCGTAAAATCATTACGTGTCTCCTTTCACTCTTAAAGGAGTCTTGGCTGAGACAACAAATATGTGGTCATAGTACCTAGGACCTAGCAATTGCATTGTTACATACATACCACGGAGTAATTCCTGTACATGAGCGGTATAAGCTATGATGTTGAATTTTATAAACAGCAAATCAAAATACCTTTCTTCTAAAGCCCTAAAAGAAAAAGTGGAAATAAACACCGCCTGTAGACAAAATAATAAGTAAATAAGTAGACTGGTATACTAAAACAGAAAATATAAAAACAGTGGTGAAAATCAGTGAACTGTTCCACATCTAACACATCAATTATGTTTGGATCTCACAAACACAATTTTGCACAAAGAATGAGTAGAAAAATAAACAGCATGATTCTGTATATTCAAATGTAAATTAAACAAAAATGTTGAATTCAAACACATTTTTTTTTGCATTAGGAACACAAACACATTTGGTCAAACTGAAAAGAAAAGCCAGGATATAGTAATACCCACTATATGCCTACTATAGTTAAGGAGAGGTGGAAGGTGATGGCATGAGAATTTGACTGGGAGGGACACAGGTGAGTTTCACAGCAATGGGAAGTGGTTCCATCTTATGCTGGTAATGGAAGACTGGGTTGACTTGCTCTTTAAATCTCACGTGTTACAGGTAGTCTTTATCTTTCATAATTAAAAATGGAAAAACACGGGCATCTGTTCTTGATTTGTACATAAGTCTTTCCTCCCTCCCGTCATTGACTTTGGTTTTATTAAACCATAAATACGATTTTATGCTTACATAAGCTTACAGAAGCTTTGCATCACAGTGCAGCAAAGAAATCTGACTTTTTCCTTGTCTGAGGGCTTTGCACAAGACTGCTTAATTGTTTAAATTTTTTAAAAATACTAAATTTAAGTAATTCTGTATTTGAGAAATTAAAAGCTCCTAATAACATTTAAAACTTGGTTTCTCAGGTTCATTTTCTGGACACAGACGCTCTGTGAATACAAATCTTTTACCAAATTGCAGTCACGTAAAATTTCTTTCCATAGGGGCACTAGGGTGTGTAGTGGAAATCTAGGTAGCATGTATTAATAGAAGTCTCCAGGTAATGAACACTCATTACAGATCAAGCATTTTATCTGTATTATTTCTCATCATAAACTTATGAAGTATTATTACTACCTCCATCATACAGCAGAGAAGGCCAAGTGATTTGTCTAAGGTCACACTGATGATACCTGATGGAGACAGGCTACCCACAAAGGGTTTTCTGCCAATAACCTTTTCTCTGTGCTGGTCACCTCTCAGCTCTCTTTGCAAGGCTGCTAGGCAGGGATGGGCAGAAAGAGCTCTGAATGCAGGGTCTCAATGACTGCACTGAGTCTTAGCTTCACGACCAAAGTGAAGTAACCCCTGAAAATCTTGATCTTTTAGATAAGATTGGTACCTCAGAATAAAGAGGATTCAACAGTGGTGCCCATGCACAGACATCTTTTAAAGTGTGAAGAGCTGCACAGATACAAGCATAGCAATGATCATTTTAATGAGAAAGCAGAATGGCAGCACAGTTTAGTCACTGTGAAGATCCAGTTAGAAATCACAAGACATAACTGTATGAGTGGCACTGTGACTGTAATATTTCATTTGCATTTTCCCTCTCCCTCTCCCTCTCCCACCCCAATCCCACACAGGGGCCTGGCTCATTATCCACCACTATCTTCTGAATTTACCAAAAGAAAAATGTTTGAATCCAAAGACAGCATGTCTTCAAGTAGCCATAAAAAGGTACACACCGTAGATCCAAGAAAATTTTTCCTTGGGGCTACTAAAGTCTTTTGTAGTCAAGAGTGAAAAAATTGACACATTAAAGCACGTCTTTGGCGCTATCGCTTTCTGTTGAATCTTCACAGTAAATATCCTCTACATATTTACTGGGCAGCAACGGTGGACATTTACACAGTGGCTGAAACGCTTTCACGCTGCATTGCAGCCTCACAACGCCGAGTCTGGCAGGGCAGGTCATCAGGAACCTCTTTCCGCAGGAGGCTGAATTAAGCCTGAGAAGTTACGCGGCTTGGGGGGGCCAGGCTGGCACCGAGCCTGGCGTTGGGGGTCTCGGGGACGCCTGGGCTCGCCAGCAGGCAGCTTCCCCTCCCCGCAACCGCCGCGGGCTGCGGAGACGCTTCCAGCCTCTGCAGACGTGGAGAGGAGGGCCGCGGCGGCACGGAGCCTGGCACGAGGCCCGAGGAGCGCAGACGCGCTCAGGTGGGAGGCGACCCCGCGCCCGGACCCCACGCCCACAGCATCCGTCCCAGAGAAGAGCCCCCGGGCTGAGCCGAGGCCCTGATCCTCACCTGCCACCCGCCCACTGGGGCCGGGGGAAGGGGTCACCTGCGGCCGTGACCAGGGTCCGGGAGGAAGGTGACAGTAGCCAGGAATCAGGGAGCGGAGCCAGCACCCGGCGGCCTTGTGCGCCTGCGCATGCCGGGCCGCCGCGCTCCCACTTCCGCGCATGCCCGGTGCAGGAACCGCTGGCCCCGACCCCAGGCCGGAAGTGGGGTTCGTTTCCGGCTCGTCTGCTATGGGCAGGGCCAGGAGCCCAAGGTGTGAACGTGCCCAGAGAACCAGGAGCCCGTAGTGGAGGGGAACGGTCCCTGTAGTTGGAAATGGGAACAGAGACTACACTGCATTTAGCCTGATTCTGTCACTGAGAGGCAATAGGCAATCCTGTGGCAGATGGGGCGGGTGAAGCCGAAACGCTCAGGGTATTCTACTTGGCCAGCATATCCTAGAAATCAGTGTTTCTAGGGATTTGTCTTTGTGTTTATCTGCATTTTCTACGTTTTTTACCATGCACCTGCAGTACTTGTATAATAAAATCGATGATAAAGATAGTATCAGTGATAGCTGGGTGGATTCAGTCCCGAGGCATGAAGGCCCTCTTGGCTCTATAAGGTAATGTCAGCCAAACAGTGGCTGAATAGGATTCTCATCTAGGCCATTGCTTCCTTGAGTTTTAATGTAATTTAAAATCTCATCCACTCAGATATTCATCCAGCCTTAACTCCATACATGCACTGTGCCAGGTACAACTGAGCAAAACCAGACCCAACCATTTCTGTCACGATCAACAAACGGTAGAGGAAAAAGCTAAATAATCACAGATATGGAGGAAAGGTGTGTGGTCCTGGGAACCCCGGTGGAACCTGGCTAGCAGCGTGGTTCAGATATGATGTAGTTTTGAGTCCTTGTAATGCCATTTCTGCTGGCCGAAGGCCAGGACAGGCACTTTGAGCAGCATGCGCAAGAGGGGCAGTCTCTCCATCAGAAATCTTCAGTCTTTGGAGACCTCTAGAAACCCCAGGGTCTTCCCATACGAGTCTCATTCGGACGCATATGCTGGTCCTGGACTACCAGTGGTGCGGCGCTGGCTTTCATGATAACCCCATTCTTGGTAGTGCTTCTTCTGCCACACTGGGCTGGGCACCTGCAGAAATGCATTAGGTATGACCCAGACTTAGGGCACCTTTGGCAGATCCTAAGGGAGTCAGACAGCTCAAGCGCGCTACCCAATGGACTAAAGCGCGCTGCGAATTGTGTTAGTCAACTGCAGCGTCTCATCTGCAAAATGGAAGCCGAAGAGCTTATTCATAAGGTTTTATGAAACTCCTTAGGGCAGTGTGTGTGAAGCGTTGACCCAACGCTTGGGAATGCCAAGTACAGTATAAATGACACATGGCGGTACCCAATTACAGCGTGAGAGATTCTTAGATGCGATGGCTGGCTAGAGCTCATCGCCCCACGCTCCCGACCACCTGAACCTAGAGCCGGCTGCCGCAGGCCGCTTCCGCCCACCACCCTATTTCCTCTTGGCGGGGCTCTCACCTCCAGGAGTCAGCGCGCTGAGAGCCCGGATGTAAGCCTAAGTGGACATGCGCACAAGCCAGCGCCGCTGCCATTGGTCGCTATTGAGGAGCAGATTGATGACGCAACAGAAAAAGGAGGAAGTGGCCACTACGGAAGCTGTTCTGGGCCAGAAAGACTTCCCGTTTGGAGCTGTTTGCTGTGGGGAGGGAATGAATGGGCGCTGGGAACACGCCCGCGAGGTTGGGACGCGCCGGTAGTAGCTAGGGCCTTAGAGTGTGAGTGGCCGGGGTCGGGTCGCTTCCCCGCAGCATGGAGGACGATGCGCCAGTGATCTACGGGCTGGAGTTCCAGGTGGGTCACTTGGAGGGTGGCAGGCGCTGCTCGGCCTGTCTGCTGACTGCACGCGCAGTGCCATGGTGACTTCGGTTTGCACATCTCTCACCAGCCCTACGAGGACCCGTGTCCGTCCCCCAGTTCCCATTTTGCAGAGGAGCAAACTGAGGCTTCAGGAGGTTAAACGGTTGTACTGAATAACAGGGTTTGCACAGCCAGCCTGCCTCCTTCCCCTTCGCATCCTCTCCTGAACGTGGCTTCTCACCTGGAAGTTATCACTCACTTTGGTGGACTCATTTGTTTACACGTCCACCTTTTCCTCTAGAATTTGAGTTCCTGAAGGTAGGAACTGTATGTTATTTTTTTTAAAAAAGTGTTTGATTTTGAAACAGTTTAAAGTATTTGGAGGAGTTGCAAAGATAACACAGAAAGTTCTTCCTTACCCTTCACCCAGCTTCCCTTAATGTTAACACTTCACGTAACCACGGTACATTTATCAAAGCCTAGAAATTAACATTGGTACACCAATATTAAGTAAACCACAGACTGTCTTCGGATTTAACTGTTTTCGCACTAGTGGCCTGTTTTTTTATCTTGTATTTTCCAGTGCCTGTTCACAATGGCTGTCACGTAGTAGGTGTTCAACAAATGGCTATGAACTGAATGAGCCCCCAGAGCATAAGCAATGCACATGGCAGTTCAGGACAGCAAGAAAGCTGATGTGGATAGAGGGAAGGAGTCGGGGGAATGGGACAGGAGATGAGATGAGGTGGAGAAGATGACTGTGCAGGATCTGTTAGAGCCGGATATTATTTTTCATCTATTCAAGTAGCTTTTGAGAATGTGTTTTGCCTAAAGCACTGAGGGACAAATATAGAGATAGAAACACAGGTCACTGCTATATGAAGTACTTGATACTAATTTTGTGCAGCAATATGTGTTAAAAATATAAGTGATGTCTGCTTTTAAGTCGGTTACAGTCAGAGAGGCAGCAGTGTTAGTAAAATAATAGATGCCACCGAGACATCTAAGTTTTACATCCTGACTCTAGCACTTATTAACTATGTGACCTTGGGCCTCAGTTTCCTTGCCCATAAGATAAGGAGTTAATTGATACACAGTGTGTTCAATAAGTATTATTCTAATTGTTATAATGAGACAAAGTTCTTTTTTTTTTTTCTTTGTAGAAACGGGGTTTCGCCATGTTGCCCAGGCTGGTCTTGCACTCCTGAGCTCAAGCGATCTGCCTATCTCAGCCTCCCAAGGTGCTGGGATTACAGTTGTGAGCTATAACACCCTGCCTAAGACAAAATTCTTACAAATAAATTTTACACAGGGCAGCAGCTAAGTAATAAACTGTGCATAATAAACTGTGCTATAAGGTTTAACCATATCACATTCACGAGACTGACGGCTTAGCTACCAGTGATGGAGCTCTGGACTGTGTGTCAGACACTCCGCTTAGCACTGTACAAACATTCCGTTTAATTCTCACAGCAGTCATTATCGGTAGACGTTATTGTTCCTGTTTTACAGATGAAGAAACAGGCTCAGAGAGAATAGTTACCTGTCCAGGGCCACTTAGTAAATGACAGACCTTGGATTCTGATCTGGCTAGGCTCTCAATCCAGACTGACCTCAAAGCCCTTTACCTGCTAAGTTCTGCTTCCTCCTTAACTAGATATACGTAAGGATACATCGGGAGAGACCGCATGGGTAGATTGAAGGTTCCATAATCTTGTACTACCTGGAGGTGCATGCTTTGCCAGTGCTACTTAATATAACTTCTTGATCTCCTTAAGAAATCTCTCAAAAAACTCAGTATTGTATCTTTGAGGTTAACTGCAATGTTATTTTCTGAGATTTGAAAAATGAATGAAGTTGATTATCCTAAGGGAGTCAAATATATTACTGGATTTTCGTCTTTATCTTAAAAGAGGTAGCTGACTTTTGCAACTTGGATTTTATTGATAGTTCCATGGACCAAGACTTTCTTGAGTTTGAAGAACCGTTATTGCAGTAAACAAAAAAAGAACTGAAAATGATAGTGTTTTTCTTTGCTTGTCAGTGACATTCAAATCCCATGGAGAACACTTTACATGAAAAGATAGAGATCTGATTATTGAGCATTGAATGAAGGCAATGAGGCTTGAAAGGTAAAGGGAAGTATTACAACTGCAAATAACAGACAGACCAACATAGAGGGTCGTTAAGATAGCAAAATGCTTAGCAAATTAATGGCAATTGTTCTGAATTTTTTATAATTACATTTGAAATGAATGAAATGTCAAATGATATTTGAAATGCTTTTGCACACTTTTCGATTACTGGTTAGTAGAAATCCGTTTTCTCGATATGAGTTTAATGAACACTTGTCAGTTAGCATAACAGCAGTTCTTTGTGACTATCTCAGAGTGTATACAAATAGTATGATTTCTCTCCTGCAATCATGTTTCTTCAAACTTTTGACATTAAGAGACCTTCTTTAGTTGTGTGGGTCAGATCGCCATGTGGCAAATATGCCTAGTGGTGGGAAGAGTGAACCTCTAGCCAGCGGTGGCTCTACCCATGTGTAGGTCTGGGGGCAGGCATGTGACTAAGATGGACCAGCGGCCAGCAGGGCCTGCAGGTTTGGGCAGAGTGAGGGCTCTGTCGGTCAACTCCCATTTGAGCCCACTGCTGCCAAGTGAGCTGGGCCAGACCGGAAAGGATGTTCAAGGTTGGAAGGTGGATGGCAGTGATGACCTGGGCTTGTTTCAAGACTCCTTTCCCTGGAGTTACCAAAACTAGTAAGCAAACAGGGCAGGTTGTAAGCCACACAAGGATATGAGTGCCTCCTTTCTGTTCTGGGAGGTTCTCCTGGAGTCCTGAGATCAGTGTAGTCAGGTCAGAGGGGTAAAGAGACTGTGGCTTGTGTCCATCAGGCTGAGGGACAGACGGACCAGGCTCGCGTTCAAGGGTCTGCCTGTTGCCAAGTGAGGAAAGAGTTTTGAAATGGAAGATAGAGATTAAATTTTCAAATGCTATTTTATATCCATGGAAGTGATAATTTGGTTTTAGGATTTTTCTCTTTTGATCTCTTTGGTCAGTTACCTTAATAGCTTTTTAAATATTGGCCCAGCCTTGCATTCTTAGAAAGAATTCCACTTGATTGTGGAATAGTACTCTGCTGGATTTGGTTGCTTACTTACAATTTTCCCATTAATATCTGTATATTTTCTTGGTCGAGTTTTGTTTCACTGCTGGGCTGGCTGCATAAAAAGCACTTGGGAATTTTCCTTCCGTTTCTGTGTTGGAGACCGCCGAAGGTCGTGTTGCTATTGCCTGCTTCTAAGGCATGGGGCTCTTACAGCATTGCCTTTCTAATCCGTGCTAACTAGTTGCTCAGATTTCTTATCTTTCTTTTCTGATCAGTTTTGATAACTTACATTTTTCTGGAAAATTCATTTACTCAGTGGACAAGTATTTATTTATTCATAATGCAATAAAGCACTTTGTATGTGCCTGGAACACAGCATAGGAGGAAGCAGACAAAATCCCAGCCCTCGTGGATGTACCCACCCAAGACTCAGCCTTGCAGAGATCTTTCTGTAGAGGAACAAAGTCTCTGAGAATTGAGGATTTGCCTTTTAGGTTCTTCCCATTTTTTAAAAAATTTCATCAGTTGAAATTTTTAATACAAAACATTAAAAACAATTTCCATTTATTTTCTCAGCATTTTTCTATCTTTTTTTTTGAGATGGAGTTTTGTTCTGTTGTGCAGTGGTGCAGTCTCGGCTCACTGAACCTCCGCCTCCCAGGTTCAAGCGATTCTCCTGCCTCAGCCTCCTGAGTAGCTGGCACTACAGGCGCACCCCACCACGCCCAGCTGTTTTGTATTTTTTAGTAGAGATGGGGGTTTCACCATGTTGGCCAGGATGGTCTCGATCTCCTGACCTCATGGTCCCTCCACCTCAGCCTCCCAAAGTGCTGGGATCGCAGGCATGAGCCACTACATGTAGCCAGCATTTTTCTATCTTAATTACCTTCTCTGTTGGTCTTCTGTCTTTTATTTGCAGTTGCTTAAATTATTTATTTTTATTCTGCTTATTGATACAAGCATTTCAGACACGTGGATTTTCTTCCGAACATTCACTTCTTGATTTTATTGTTTTATGGATATTTTGCAGTTTTGAATTTAATTTTGAATTTCAGGTCAAATCTCTTTTTTGACCTGAAATTCCCTGAAGGGACCCCTCTCAACTCTGTCCCTGCCACCTGCCGTGATTAGGGTTGTCTGTCTCTGTGTCCTTTCCACCGCAGACTTCCTTCCTGGGCCGGAAGTTCTCCTTCTCGTGAGCTGGGAGTTTTCATTTCCATCTAGTTGTCTTGGGTTGTCTTGCAGTGTCTTCTTTGAGTTCTGCTTTGAATTTTTCTTTTACTTTACTTTTTTTTTTTTCTTTTGAAACAAGGTTTTGCTGTCACCAAGGTTGGAATGCAGTGGCACAATCTCAGCTTACTGCAACCTCTGCTTCCTGGGCCCAAGTGATTCTCCTGTCTCAGCCTCCCAAGTAGCTGGGATTACAGGTGCATGCCACCTCACTCAGTTAATTTTTCTATTTTTGGTAGAAACAGCATTTTGCCATGTTGGCCAGGCTTATCTTTAACTCTTGACCTCAAGGGATCTGCTGGCCTGAGCTTCCCAAATGCTGGAATTACAGGAATGAGCCACCACTCTCAGCCTCTTTTTTAAAAAAGTTTTTTGAGACAAGGTCTTGCTCTGTCACCCAGGCTGGAGTACAGTAGCGCTATCATGGCTCACAGCAGCCTGGAACTCCTGGGCTCAAGGCATCCTCCTGCTTCTGCCTCCCAAGTAGCTGATACTACAGGCCCAGCTCTTTATTATCATTTATTTGCTTCTGTGTATCTAATCAATCAATCAATTAATCAATGAGATGGGGTCTCATCATATTGTCCAGGCTGGTCTTGAAGTCCTGGACCCAAGCAGTCTTTGCACCTTGGCCTCTTACAGTTGTGGA